TCAACTATAACGTGTGCCTTACAATTCATTCAAAAGTTCCGCAAAATTAGTTGCAACTGATGAATTCATCTTTCCTTCAAAATGTTGAATATCGATTAAAAAAAATGCCTTTCCACTTCTATTATATGGTCTGAAAATAATAAATTGTACGTTCGCGACCTACCCTTACTGAGAACACATCTGTAGCAATCCAAGCTCGCTCATGGAAGATATCCTTTATACTGGCACCCATATGAGCAATTCTCGTCGCCAATTCAGCAATGCCTGGAAATACAAGATTTTCTGTAAACCCTTTCGACCAGTTTTGTTAGGTACCTCCAGGCCTATCAGATACGACGACTTCAAGACGAATAAGTCTACCATCAACAGCTAGACCTCGTTCGATTGTACGTCCCAGTACTGTGGTGTCAATGTTACCTCCGGTAAGAATTGTGACCACTCTGGATGTGTTAGGTTACTGGCGATACAAATCTTCCGTAAAATCTTTAACATACTTCTTTCCTTGAAGTTCTGGTAGTTTACCGCTCATCAGTGCTGCTAGACCAACTGCTCCACCACCTTCGACAATGGCCTACAAATTCGCAAGTGAGCATAAGTAAGTGTAAATGAAGATAATCAAAATGAATTCGGAGTCTTCAGTACAATCTGCGATCATGCGAACGTAATTTGTAGTCGAGGAAACAGCCGAATGCGTGCAGGCCTTTTTACAATAACTTGCGGGGGTCAGCGATCATCAACTCAGTGCTTTTATCCTCCCAGATTACTCTGATACCAAATTTACAGGCCTCGGATTCTAGAGGGCTTGGTTGGCCCAGGGGCAGGGATCGAACCTTGATCCGATTGGTCGTAGCGGCGCCTCCTTACCACTACGCCGCTCGTGCCTCATATACTATTGATAATGGTAAATTGCTTATTAAGCACTGTATGAGGCTACAGGTTCAATGACCAAGCACGAGGTATCTGGGTTATGATTTGCAAAGATTTGCCTTATTGAGCTATCACCCGAGCGGCATCTCCCTACTCAATTTCAAACTCTCGCCTAGTTCCGTACTCTTTCCAAGCGGACTATTATCGGGTATGATAGTAGGCGAAAGTTCAGAGTCGATATTTGGGCAACAATTAAAACATTAGTTGGACGATTTACCAGATTTGCCTAGGCTCTGCCTTCAGTTAATCCCTTACAGCTGCTCAAAAGCAGTGGCTCGGCAAATCCAAACATCTAATTTTGATATGGAAGGTTGTTTACCCCAGTGATGAGAACAAAGCAGATCCGAGCGCATATCATGCTGCCCTTAAACCCGTGCGCGCAGGCCATTCCTCACATGCGCTCGGACGAGCTTGTGATTTCCATCTCACCGCCGGAGAAGGCATAGCGCCATGTTATAGCAGTGACGTTCCCGCAACGACTCTGCGTCTCTAAGCGTGGGATTAACTGTTCCACTCGTCCGAAGTCAATATGAGGCGCCTTGGGCAACGCTGGATTTCGAAGTTTTCGCGCCATTCAAGGTGGATTTTCGAGATAAGCGCATCGAATTACTCCAGGTAAGAAAATTTTTTGCGACGATTTGCCGAGCCACTGCTTTCAACGATACTCCGGTTCGACTAAACTAGTTAATCCGATTCTGCTGCGTATGTGTTTTGATCTTTGATTTTTACTAAGAATCATAATCTCTTACCTTTTCCATCTCGATGAGCCTCAAGATGCTTAGGGCCGTCGATTCTTCACAAACAACCACGGATTTATCAACAATACCTTCTAGAGTAGCCAGAGCATTGCCACCAACCATTGGTACAGCAAGACCTAAACATTCAGTGGTATACTTAGCGGTTCACTTTTTAACTTCTTCCAACCCTCATAATTCGGAGCAAAGTAAGCTCACCATCAGCCAGTGTACTCTTGACTTTTGCCATAACTGGTTTTCCAGCTTTGATAGCTTCTGTATAAGATGGGCATGAATCTGATTCCACTGCCTTTATGAAAGAGTTGTTAGAAAAGCAATCGGTTGGTTCATTGGTCTTACAATGATCTGCACTTGAGGTTTGAGCGTTTTCACAGCAACAGCTATACCAGCGATTAGACCAGCACCACCGACAGGCACGACTATGGCGTCAACATCTGGGACCTGGATGAGATTTTTGTTACTTAAATTCGAACATGCACTTTTAGATCTGCGGACCTGCTCGAGAATTTCCAAACCAATCGTTCCTTGTCCGGCTAGAATGTCAGGGTGATCATAGCCATTGATGTACTTGAGCTTCTTTTCGACCACTAATTTCATAGCGTACACACGTGCCTAAAA